AATTATATCCGAAATACGAAATTCCGTTAACGAATTTCGGATCCGAATTTCTTTGAAACAGGAACTAATATTACCCCTGTAAATGAGGTTGAACAACATGACAAGATTTTTTTTTTAATCCGAAATACGGATCGGCTGCTGCTGAGAGTCGCATTACAATACACAGGCAGGAAATACGAAATTCCGTTGACGTATTTTCGTTCCGTTACGAACATTCGTTATATTGAAGGTAAAAAGCAAAGTACATTTATATTGGAGTAGATGGTAGTTTTTTTTTTAAGTCCGAAATTCGGATGCGGAATTCGTATTTCGGATAAAAAAACAACGACCACATCGACTCCAATATTAACAAAGGTATTTTTGCTTTTTAACTTCATCATAACGAATGTTCGTAAAGTTACGAAAATGTGCCGAAACTAACGAAAATCCGTATTTCGTACCAATCCTAATTGAGTTTCGGATACGAAATAACGGATATTCCGGAACGAAACGGAACAAATTTTTTGACGGAGCACAAGTCTAACGGCTGCACTTTGGTCAGCTGATCATGCCTTGCATGTTCATATGAGCCGAAGTGCAGAACGTCCAACATCTGGATCGGCTGAGCCGAAGCTGCGGCAGCTCACTCACTGCCATTCGCCCCGATTCCAGTATATTCCCATAGGGGCCGATCGGCAGTGAGTGAATAGCCAAATGCTGCTGAGCGCCATTCGGCTCAGATGTTTTGCTCGGTACCTCCGTGGTACCGAGCAGAATAGCAAATAGTGAAATTAGTCGGAAAAAAAAAAGATTGAAAAAGTTTTAAAAATGTAAATAGTAAAATTATAAAAATAAAGATTTTTTTTTAAAAGAAAAAAAAAACAATTGGGCGGAGCTAACAGTGACAGCTAGCTCCACCCAACTGTTTCTTGTTGGCCGGCCAATGAATAACAACTGGGCAGAGTCGGCTGTGACTTCACGGCCGGCTCCGCCCAGTTGTTATTGTTTAATGACAGATCAGCATGCCTAGGTCATTTGGGGACGCAGATCTGTCATTACATCTGGGAGGAGCCAGCTGTGAGATCACAGCTGGCTCCGCCCAGCTGTCGTTTGCGGGGCTTACGGCCGGCCTTCTGCAGGCCGTTCGCCCCGCTTGAGCTGTCACTTCGTCTCATTCGATGCCTTCGGCTCGGCTGAGCCGGTCGGCCGCCTTCGACTGCTGTACGGTCTATAGCTAAAAGCTGGTACAGCAGAGCCCTTCGCTGCGACTGAACCGAAGGGCTCCGGCGGGCCGAAGAGAGCCGAAGGATCAGCAGAAGCAACAGCTGGATCCTTCGGCTCCATGGTTAATGACCCCCTAAGATATACCGCCATGTTGATAAATAAAAAAAATTGATGAGACCTCTTCAGCGGTGGAATAAAATGTGTCGCACGTGTGATGTGTCGCGGACAAAATCCCGTCAATAGATTCATATACACCTCGCCGACAGGTACATGAATCATGATAGAGTTCATGTACCCACCGCACTCAGAGCTGCTGCTCCAAAAATGGAGGGTGGGTGCAGCAGATGTCAGTGGGTGCAGGGCCGGATTTAATTTTTTTACATTTTTATTTATCTTGTCATCTTTTACTTTTTTCTTATTTTTTATTTATTTTTTTACTTTTTAATCACCTTTTTATTTAATTATTTCATATTATTATTTATTTATTTTTATTTAATTTTTTTTTCACCTAACTTTATTGCTATAACACAGAAAACAATCCCCTGTGTGATAGCAATTGGAGGTGACAGGTTCTCTTTATTGACCCCTGTCACCTCCAAATCAGGAGTTCTAGCACAGCGCTGTGCTGGAACTCCTGCGACAGGTGAGAGGGGAAGAGCACAGCACGGCACAGCACGGCACAGCGCAGCACAGCACGGCACAGCGCAGCTCTCCCCCTCTCACTGTCTACATGGAGGTAAAAGGTAACCCTGCCGCTCTGCTCACTGCAGTGAGGAGATGGACTCGGCGGCGGAGCCCGGAGGACGGAACCAGAGGAGAGAGGTAAGTGCAGGGGGGAGGGGGGAGGAGGGTGCACACTGTTTACATGTGATCTGGGCAACATCGCCGAGATCACATGTAAACGAACAATCGGCTGCCTCACTCTACATTTAGCTCGGCTTGTGCAAAGCAACTTACCGCCCGGCGCCCGGAACTTCCCCACAAGGACACCGCTGCCTCCCCTCTGCGCCCTGCCGCCCCGAGGCCGGGCCTCTGTGGCCTTGTGGGGAATGCGGGCCTAAGTGGGTGGCTTCCGATAAAATATCAGTACCTATACAGGTATATGAATCAGACACAAGTCGCAACATTTGTTGCAGGTTCAGGAAACAGATTCCCAGTGAATGTCTATGACACTCTTCATGAATTCCGGGGGGATCGCGTCCTGTTAGTCCCCCTTCCTGCATATCACAGAATCAGACGGAGGGATAGTCTGCGCTCCTCTAACATGCTGATAGGGAGCAGGCCCGGCGCTACAGGGGGTCAGGGGGGGGGGGGGCAAAAATTCAACTTTGCCTGTGTTGGCAAAAGTCATAGCACCGGCCCTGATAGTCTCCCTCAGTACAGAGGACTCAAATGTCCAGCAGTCCAGCAGCCTATGACACGGTCAGCGCACAGAGAAGGAAACAACACCACGACTTGTGAAACGCGTGACGACCCGCGAGGAATCCCTGGGGGATCGGTGTCACACACTCATGGAAACCAACAAGTATTGAGTTTCATGTTTGCTCCATTCAACACCAATATTAGAAAAGAAAGGCACGCGGGAGCACTGCTGGCAGTCACTTAGTGACACATTGTATACATAACTCTGTTGTTAAGTTGGCGGATCCTTCATGACAAGTGTAGATTACAACTAGGAAGTCAAAACACTGAATTGTCTCTACTCCTGAACACATGCACATGACCGAGAGCAAATGTATCGCAAAGCCGTTTAATGAATTCATTTTCTTTATTTTAAACAGAGCAAATCTTAAAAAAAACACTTTGAGGTCTATTTATAAACGATTCGCAGAGCCCTCCACCCTGCAAATTTCTGTGAACGTTCATTTTGAGCAAATAATGGCAAAAACAAACGTTCTTAATATATTGTCTTTTGAGGTTGAATGTATTGTGATGTAATACTGTATTATGACCGCTAGATGGAGCTGATGAGCAAAGGAAATAAATATTTGCTATAGTGTGCTGACACTGCGGCCAGGCGAAAGACAGCTCTCCTCATTGGTGCTCACTTAAAGGGCCAGATGATGCACGGCTCAGTGTTTGAGAACCACATTGCTACACCTAAAGCTGAGCCTCCCCAGTGCCTCAGGTGAGCCTGTCCCCCAGTGACTCCTGTGCCCTCCATGACTAGCACCCTAGCTCTTCTAGTACCTCAGTGTCTATGGCATCCTGTGCACCCCATGTCTCCAACTGCATCCTGTGTCTCCATGTGCGCCCCTGTGTCTCCATGTGTGCTCCGTGTCTCCAACTGCATCCTGTGTCTCCATGTGCGCCCCCATGTCTCCATGTGCGCCCACGTGTCTCCATGTGTGCCCTGTGTCTCCAACTGCATCCTGTGTCTCCATGTGCGCCCCCATGTCTCCATGTGCGCCCACGTGTCTCCATGTGTGCCCTGTGTCTCCAACTGCATCCTGTGTCTCCATGTGCGCCCCCATGTCTCCATGTGCGCCCACGTGTCTCCATGTGTGCCCTGTGTCTCCAACTGCATCCTGTGTCTCCATGTGCGCCCCCATGTCTCCATGTGCGCCCACGTGTCTCCATGTGTGCCCTGTGTCTCCAACTGCATCCTGTGTCTCCATGTGCGCCCACGTGTCTCCATGTGCGCCCCCGTGTCTCCATGTGCGCCCTTATGTCTCCAAGTGTTACTCTTGCGCTGACCACGCCGCACTTGTCATGATGATGGATCGATTTTAAAACGGGTCCATATATTTTGTGGAGACTTCTGGTATTTCAGTAACTGGTGGGTACTGGGGAGCTAAATCCCATGGAGGTCGTCTCTCTCTCTTGAGGGACTCTGTTGGTGTGATCTCTGTGCCGGGTCTCTGGCTCAGCACATCTGCAGTGCCCGTTATTTGTATCTATGTTATATTATGGAGAATGTGGGAGGAGCCTGAACAACACCAGCTCACCGTTCCCGCCCCTCCATTGTGCTCACGCCATAGCTCATCTCTCGTCTCTCCGTTTCCAGTGCTAAAAACCGTTGTCAGCCATCAGCACTAATTAACAGATAATTTGCGTCTTTTTTTTCTTCCATTCTTCCGTCCAACGTAACCCCCGGCGTGACCTCTCCATCAATTAGTGGGATCCGATTCCCAGAATCCTCTGCTGTTCAGACAGTGGTTGGTGACCCCCCTGAACCGACATCTGCGCCCGGTGCTGCAATGTCGTGGTTCTTCCCAGCGACAACCTCTCCATGACAATAGGTTCCTTAAGCATTCATTTCCTCCCGATAAGCGTTCTCCGTCCCCGGAGGAATATGAATCAGGAGGCGCCAAGGTCACGGCTCTGCTTATTAGTGGGACAGTCCGGGTGGATTTGGGATTAAATGACATTTCCTCTAATGTGTCAGATCGCTGGATAAGAAATTCATTGTGATGAAGATTTCGTGTATTACATCAATACAACCCAGATAGCGAGGATAACTTGTGTCCGGGTTACATTGTAATTCTTGTTAAAGGAGAACTTTGGGGTCAGGGCTTTTCCCCATAGTTCTCCTCAGGGTAACGGGAGGACACAAACTAGCGTCCTCCCGTCACCCTAAGCTCAGTATATAGGGAGCTACAGCTCGCGGTATACTGAGACGCCGCAGCTGAAGCGGATCCTGACAATTGTGCCTGGATCCGCCCAGCTGCGTGAGTGACAGCTGGCTCCGCCTATCTAGAGGCCGAGCCAGCTGTACCCGCCCCCTCCCCCGTCCATTCTGCCAGTCAGCGCTGGAGGATTGGAGCGAGGAGAGGGGAATCCAGCCCCTCCCCCTGTCACGGCAGGATCGAGAAGTGAGCGAACGCCGGTATGTGTTCGCTCACCTCCCGATCTACTGAGCCGACCTGTGACAGTCTCATTGTCACAGGTCGGCTAGAACTATGAGGTGAGTGAGAAGCACTCCCCCCCCTCATAGTTCTCCTTTAACTTGCTGCGCACATTCCCGGCAGGTTGTAGCCTCGCAGAACACGCGCAGCACAAGTTCTAGGCGACACTTTTTGAATTTGTAGCAAATTTGCTCGGCAAGTCTACAGCAAGAGTCCTGCAGGTCTGAGCAAGATCTCTGCAAGCTGGCTGGTCTGGAGACTCGCTGTAATTGTGCAACAAAATGGTGAAGCTCGGCAAGTCTGCAATAGTTGAGTCATTTTCAAACTTGCAGCTCAATTGTTTCTATCTGGGAATACGATGATTTTTCCCATGATGCTCCAGGAGGAGAAGGATTTGTCATTCTTGTATCCTCATTGGGTGGGAATTGGAGACAAGCCTTGGTGGTTTGGACCAATTTCCTACAAAATGTGTGAATTTACAAAATTCTAAGTTTCCGGACCGAAAGTCCCACTGAAGTCCACGGGAATCCGAACCAGGCTCCCGAAAGTGTATTGCCATCAGCCAATGATACAAAGGTGTGTAGAATGGTTCGGGGAACTCCTGGCAGCCCGGACCAAAACAACAGCCAGAGGCACTTACCTGCAGTCAAGCTAAGGAAAGAAAGGACCTGGTGGGACCGACAGTTAACCTGGGGAAGGAAAGGACCTGGTGGGACCGGCAGTCAAGCTAAGGAAGGAAAGGACCTGGTGGAACCGGCAATCAAGCTAGGGAAGGATGGGACCTGGTGGGACTGGCAGTCAAGCTAAGAAAGGATGGGATCTGGATGGACCAGCAGTCAATCTGAGGAAGGATGGGACCAGCAGTCAAGCTAAGTAAAGATGGGACCTGGTGGGACTGGCAGTCAAGCTGAGGAAGGATGGGACCTGGTGGGACCGGCTGTCAAGCTGAGGAAGGATGGGACCTGGTCGGACCGGCAGTCAAGCTGAGGAAGGATGGGACCTGGTGGGACCGGCTGTCAAGCTGGGGAAGGATGGGACCTGGTGGGACTGGCAGTCAATGTAAGGAAGGATGGGACCTGGTGAGACTGGCAGTCAATCTAAGGAAGGATAGGACCTGGTGGGACTGGCAGTCAAGCTGAGGAAGGAAAGGACCTGGTGGGACTGGCAGTGAATCTGAGGAAGGATGGGACCTGGTGAGACCAGCAGTCATGCTAAGGGTGGTCAGGGAACATCAGTCAGGGAACATCAGAAACACCCTTTGGAACCCCCTGTGGCCACTTCCTCCCAGAAGCCTTTTGGGAATCTGACCTGGCAAATATCACACCAAAATCTGGGTTCAGCATCCAAATCCACGAAATCCCAAATGTAGGATCGGTTCTGGTTGGAATGGATTTCTCACACTGTTGACCTTCCATGATTCTCTTTCTCCAGGTTCCAGGTTGAAAAACACATCATCTATGGTTCAGTTCTCAGAGTCCACTTCCTGTTCACGCCTCTACAACTCACGGAGCCCGGCCAGTCTACAAGGAGGGTTGTCACTGTGGAGACCAATGTGTTATTATACAACTGCACCATAAAAGGGTGATGGATCCCTCGGTAAGGCAGAGCAGGGACGGGTTCACCAATAAGCAATAATCAGAAGGATGCAGGTTTCACCTATTTGGCTGCTCGGCACTCAGGGGAGCAGATAAAACATCCTGAAACCTTCCTGAGCACTTCACAGAAGGCATGTGCTCTATAAAACGCGTGACCCAAATAAATTATGTTTTCAGGGCAGCAATGGCGCCAGCGTATATGAGAAGAGACACAACTGTATTTATTTTTTTATCACAAAGCTTCCTTTGAAGCCGGTCCAATTCCTCTAATAGTAACGATATAACTCATGAAATGATAGTTCTGCTCTCAGGCAAGACACTCCAGCGCCGCGTCTGGACCGGGACAATCGCAGGCACAATGAGCAGGGGGAGGAATGCGGTCGCACCGGTTCTGTCACATTTCGCGGATATTAATCTCAATCAGCTGCCATGAATTTGGCTCCGGGATGAGGACATCTTTGTTTACTTCTTCTTGCCCCGGAGGAATATTTCTGCCTAGTAGGAAGGGCAACTCGTATCTTTCCAGAGGCTGCAGAGAAACTGCAAGTCCCGGCATGCTATCGGAAATCAATTTTGGGTTTGGAATTCGCAGCATCAATGTCCTTTATTGGTAAATAAAATGAAAAACAAAAAAAAAAACAAAAAATAATAAGAAATGAGAATTCTTCATATACAACCTAAAAACACAAACCAAAAGAATAGAGAACACGCAGAGGAAACGGATATCTATGTACAAAGTGGCAGATAGAGGAGGAAACAGTGCTGGATCAGTAATCTGTATATAAGGTGACAGTGTGGGCCCTCAGGTGGTTAGTTTGGCTCTCAGGGGGTCAGTGGGGCTCTCAGGTGGTCAGTGGGGCTCTCAGGTAGTCAGTGCGGCTCACAGGTGGATAGTGCGGTTTTCAGGTGGTTAGTGTGGCTCTCAGGTGGTCAGTGTGGCTCTCAGGTTGTAAGTGTGGCTCTCAGGTGGTCAATGGGGCTCTCAGGTGGTAAGTGTGGCTCTCAGGTGGTCAGTGTGGCTCTCAGGGTGTAGGTGTGGGCTCTCACCAGGGGTCCGGAGCGCCTTACTGGCGGCTACAGGCACAGCAGACGTGGTGTCTTGCTCCTCACTAGGGCCCCAAGAGGCCCCAGCGAGCGTCATTCTAATATCCCTGATTAGAGGGCCGCTGCTGTCTGATTGTAGCCGGCCCGGATTGCCATCAGGTATACTGAGGCGATCCCGCCAGGCCGGGATTATTTCCAGGGGCGGGCTTGGAGCGGGAGCTCCATCCGCTCCAATGTTAATCCGAACCTGGCTGAGGACCAGCGGCGGCGGCCCGGTTTCTGACTGGCCACAGAGCGGTACCTTTGCGCGGCCCGGGGGTTGGGGACCCCTGATATATAAGGGAATAGTGTGTAAGTCTGAAGATGCACTGAGTGAAAATTATATTATAAAGGGAATCAGGGAGAATACATTATTATTATTATACAGGATTTATAGAGCGCCAACAGTGTGCGCAGCGCTGTACAATATAAGGAAGACAAAATGGTAAGGAAACCCTGCCTAGGTGGTGGGTACTGCCTGTAGGTGGTGGGTACTGCCCGTAGGTGGTGGGTACTGTCCATAGGTGGTGGGTACTCCCTGTAGGTGGTGGATACTGCCCGTAGGTGGTGGGTACTGCCCGTAGGTGGTGGGTACTGCCCATAGGTGGTTGGTACTGCCCGTAGGTGGTTGGTACTGCCCGTAGGTGGTGGATACTGCCCATAGGTGGGGGGTACTGCCCATAGGTGGTGGGTACTGCCCATAGGTGGGGGGTACTGGGGTGATTCTCACACTACACCCTTTCTTTCGTATCTCCCCCAAGGACACATATGATCACATATGATATGAGCCGTGTATAGGACCAGAACAGCTGCAGCAGCTCATCGCCGCATCACAATGGACAATCAGCGAACAATTTTCAGCTGAAATGATAATGAATTATTCAATCCGGGAGCGCCGGCGTCATCAGCTCAGTTCCTTTATATTCCGATGGGGAGAGATCATCAAAATGC